GATACAGTCAACATCTGACAGATGATGCAGTCTGCGCATGCGTCTCGCGCATGAAACTTAGCCTACAATTCACTTTGACTGATTATTATTTTTTAACTTTTAAATGCAGTCGTGTTTTGCCTTACTTTACTAAATCAAGATACAAAAATTATTTATTTATTCAAACAATTATTTAGAAGTTTCATTGTGTCTAAAATTTATATGTTTGGCATTGGATACGAAATATTTACTCAAGACAATGGAGCATTTTGGGTCTGAATATTTTTAATGTGCTTCAATTTGCAAGAAATTTTGGAATTAGGTTCATCTTACTCTCAAGTTTAAAAATAAAAATAATTTAGAATCATTTGCCACTTCCCGGGGGGATGACATCTCTTTTCAGTGGTTCAATTGTATCTCTTTCAAACTAACGTCGGATATCGATAAAAGAACTAATTAGAATAGAAAAATGTTTAATCATGTTTTTCAAAATGAAATTACTTTTCAAGTTACTGGCTACTGAAAATTTGTTGTTTTTTGCGTTTTTCATCGTTTTTTGCAATTATTTCTAAAAATATACATTTAAACGAAAATCATGTAATGAACAAAATTATATCAATCAAAAACCTAATGAATCGGTATTCTATAAATTGTTCTAGGAACAATATTAGGCTAGATATGAAAATGGAGTTTTATAGTACTCAAAATAAGTTTTAAAATTAGTACTTCTGCGTGTAAGATGAGTGAGCTATCATGCAGATGAAAGACGCATACAAAATTTTTTTCGTTTAAAGCAAATAGTTTTTAAGTGCCATTTCCACCAAAATTAAAAATAATCGTATTCCCTCTGGAATCAACTTGGTTTAAGAGATTTTGCTGGGTTCTAGAAAATACCATAACTTTAGTGCAAAGGATTTCCAAAAAGCTCATGATTTCATGAAAAAAAATCTATTTAAAAAAATAAAAGATACGTATAAAGGTATATAAATGAAAATTCAAGGTCTTTTACTGACCAATTATTGCTTTTTATTATTTTTCTGTTACACAAATATTGATAGTGTACAACCAGAGTATCTTTCGAGTCCTTCAATCCTTTGCCATTTCAAAATAAGAGAAGTTACGGTAAAATTTATGATAGAGAAAGTTGTAGCTCATTTAATTACCATCAAAATAGTGTATTGCAAGTATTGATAAAATCAGAATTAAAAGAGTTATAATTCAATTAATTCGGTGGGTGGTGACGGAGTGCAAATTGTTTTTACTTCTGAACTTAAGATTAAGATTAGCCTATTTCCGACACACGGTTTTTTCCTCTCCATTTACTGCAATTTTGTTGATCGTAGGTTGAATAGAGCACATGTGAACAGGATTTGACAAATTAATTCACTTCAAATATAAACTTAAGTAATAATGTATATAAATTTATTAGTGAGAAAAATGTAATTTAGATATAAAAATTACTAAAAGCCAGTTGAAATATGGTACAAATATATAAAAATTATAGGCAACATTATTAAAGCCATTATTTTGGGTAGAAAAAACCAATGTGATATTGTACCTTTACCGGGAATGATATTTATTAATTCTTTCTAGATTTGTTATACCCTTTAAAAGACTTCAATTTTCAACACGTGTAAATTATGCTATAAATCACAAAGGCAGGCGATGATTTTTTGTGTGATACATTTGGAAAGTCAATGTTTTAGTCGTGAATAAACAAAAAATCATTCATTTTTACATCCACACTTACAAGTATGACTAAAAAATTGTATAACCCTTGACATTAAAATAAATTGAGCTATTGGAAATAAATTTGGGGTTTAAATAGCAGTGTTTAATTTTTATTATATAATTTTATTGAACATATTTCAATATTTGTTAAAGGGATAATTAAAGTGTTAACTGTGGGAATTAAGAATCATCATTTTATTTTAAGCAGTTCTACAGTAACTCATTTATTGATGTAAATAGTAATTCGAAAAACAATAATTATTAATTTTAACTGAACGGTAAATATTAGTACAGGATATTGAAAAAATGCAGAATTGGGTACAGGACAACGTCTGTCGGGTCATCTAGTATATATATAAAATTCTTCTGTAACAATGTAAGTTTCATTAATTCTCCTAAACTATAATTCGGATTTTCATGAATCTTCCTGAAGTTTGTTCGGGAAATTTTTTAGAATGTTTTGATTCATAGAAATATAGTTAGATTGTAGAAATAAATGGAAAAAATTACAAAAATCCGCTTATCATTGTTTGCCCTTGAAAATATTTAAGGCATAGTTTGACATAAGACGACTGTCATTTGCCAAACATTTCCATTCACTTATAGGCTAAGACAATAATAAAATATAATATATTTATGATTATGAATAAGAAAAATGTAAGGACTACATTATTATTGCCAAAAAGAAACTGAGATGTGCTAAAAATTAAATTAATATAAGATGCAAATAATATAACATGCGTCTGACGCGCACGGCGAATCGTGTTCTCAACGTGCGCGTGGTTTGCTTTTGCTTGCAATAATTTTGTTTGCTCACTTTGCTAACAGATTCGCCGTACGAATTCGTGCAAAGGAGACAAGCCATAAGTGATTGCGCTCAAAAATATTCAATTTGCAGTCGTTTTGCCTTACTATACTGTCACAAAAAAAATTATTTAGAAGTTTCATTGTGTCAAAAATTCATATGTTTGTCTTTGGGTACGGAATATTTACTCAATGGAGCTCTTTCGGTCTGAACTTTTTTTACTGTTTTCCATTTTGTTTGGAATTTTGGAATTAAGCTCATCTTACTTTTAAGTTCAGAAGTATGACATTTGGGGGATGACGTTTCTTTTCAGTGGTGTAATTTTACTTTTTTCAAAATATACCCAATATCGATAAAAGAACTAATTACAAGAGAAAAATGTTTAATAATGTGTTTCAAAAAAGCAAATACTTTTCAAGTTACTGGCTACTGAAAATTTGTTTCTTTTTTGCGTTTTTCATTATTTTTTGCTTATATCTTCAAAAATATACATTTTAACGAAAATCATGTAATGAACAAAATTATATCAATTAAAATCTTAATAAATCGCTATTTTACAGTGTTTTAGGAACATTTTTAGGCTAGATATGAAAATGGGTTTTTATAGTGCTCAAAATAAGCTTTAAAATGAGTACTTCTGCGTGTAAAATGAGTAAACTATCATGCAAATAAAAGACGCATATAATGTTTTTTCATTTAAATCAAATAGTTTTTCAGTGCCATTTCCACCAAATTTAAAAATAATCGTATTCCATCTAGAATGAACTTGGTTTAAGAGATCTTGATGGATTCTAGAAAATACCACAACTTTAGTACAAACGTTTCTCAAAAAACTCATGATTTCATGAAAAAAAAAAAACATTAAAAAAAACATCCAATTTCTCATTATAATATCTCTGAAAGAATACGTATAAAAGAATACGTATATATGAAAATTCGAGGTATTGTTCTGACTAATTATTGTTGTTTATTATTTTTCCATTACACAAATATTGATAGAGATATTAATTAAGGAGTGCACGGCTGTCCAACCAGAGGTCTTTCGAGCCCTTTTAACCCTTCGCCGTTTCACGATAAGAGAAGTTACGGTAAAATTTATGATAGAGAAAGTTGTAGCTCATTTAATCACCTTTAAAATAGTGTATTACAAGTTCTGATAAAATCAGAATTAAAAGGGTAATAATCCAATTAATGCGGTGGATGGTGACGGAGTGCAAATTGTTTTCACTTCTGAACTCAAGATAAAGATTAGCCAATTTCCAAAATATCAAGTAAATTGGAGCACAGTAAAAAAATTCACAGATCAATAATTTTGTTGATCGTAAGTTGAATAGAGCACATGTGAACAGGATTTGACAAATTAATTTACTTCAAATATGAACTTAAGCAATAATGTATATTGATTTATTGGAGAAAAAAATAAATATTAATATATTTTCTATATAAGTAAATATTAGTATAAAATATTGAAAAATTGTAGACGTAGGTACAGAACAACGTCTGTCGGGTCAGCTAGTATATATATATATATAAATATATATAATATATATATATATATATATATATATATATATATATATATATGATAAAATTGTTCTTGGGCATCCATCCAGTAATTAAAAACAAGCAACACATACTCCAAGCTGACAACATGATCGTTTGGAATGAGCTTTTTTATAATAAACTATATTATTAACTTGCCGAAGGAGAAGTTTATGTTTTCATCAAAAAATCCGATTCGCTAATTTTATATTTTCTCGACGTTTCAAGCCATTCTGAATCGAATGAGACCAAATTTGGAAAAAGTATGTGTGTGTGTGTGTGAACAGATTTTTTGCCGTAAGTCGACGTCTTCTCAAAAACGGCTGGACCGATTTCAAAAATTTAAAAGTCATTAGATGTATCTCGATGAGGACTATTGTTTGTCAGTTTTGTACGACGATCGGCAAAGCCGTTTCTTTATAAATCGCAGAAAAGTAAAAAAAAATTCGTCTACATTTTAGCCCGCAATTCTGAATCGATTTTGAAAATTCAAAAACCGTTCGAAAGATATTGGTAGAATAATCAATTGCTACTGAAAATTTGGTATGTGTAATGAATTTCTACTGAAAATTGTCAGAGGAAAGAAACTGGACTGGACCTATATTATGAAAGAGACTGCTAAAACTATGAAGAACAAGAATGCAGATAATGGATTACTTAAATTAAGATAACTTAGTATGGGAGAGTGAAAGCCGAAAACGTTAAAATAAAGAATGGTGCTGTCACATAATATCTTGTCCTCTGGCAGCGCATCAATAATAAAATATTAAATACTATTTAGTATTTAAATACAAAAAGCAACGTTAAAATGTTGTGTTATGAACGCGAACGCGCGACATAATCGCAGTGATCTGACAAGACATCGCGCATGCGTTATTCATATTGATCACAACTATTAGCGGCCGGTGTAGAAAAGCAACGCTGTTTAACAGTTCTCGTACATGCGCGGAAGGGATAGGCAGGTTATTAGTGTTCACTTGTATGTGGTGTAAGCAAGTGTTTATTAAGGTTTAAAATGAGAGATCTGGATAAATAAAACAATGATTATTTGAGGCGTTTTCCGTTCAAAGGTAAATATAAGACTATTTATTATCTAAGAAGTGAATTATATTCCGATTATTAGAAACTGGCGCCGAAATTTTGTTGTCATTAGAAACAATATCAAAATAATAATGTCTTAGAAAAGTGATATTAATTACATTTTAGTTTGATATTTTGATTTAGCTTCTTTATTTCAATTATATCATAATGTATACATTGTTTATTTACTATATATGCTTTCACTATTTTGAATCAACTTTCCCCTATTTTTGTATTTTAATGCTTTTTAATGTACATACCACTGTACAGATAAGATAACTCGGCAAGATTAGTTTTTTCGATATTTATATAAAAATAAAATGTGAGTTGATTATTCTATACTGATTTTCAAATTTCCGTTTCATTCTTATCTGAAAAATATTGTTACAGACGTTATTTTCAAATTTATCTCATATTGAAAAAATGTTAATATTTTATTAATATTTTATGTAGAATTTTTACTACTAATTATATCTCAAATAACAATAACAATGCCTTCCGAAAAACAATTTAATAATTTGTGTTGCAATTAATAATTTTCCAAAGAGATTTGAATTTATGACATCAATCATATAAACATCCTAAAATATTATAGGCCCACAAAAAGTGGTTATTTGTAAAAATACATTAATGTTTAAAATAACGAGCCGTGTCAAAATTTAAAAATTGATCTTCAAAATATAAAATTAGTTCTCACTTATTATTTAAGTCGATTATTTACAAATATCGGAAAGTATTTGCAACTTACTTAACAAAGTGTCATTCACACTTGTTGTTTAATATTCAAATAATAACTTTTAATACTTTACTGCACAATTAATATTATTAACTTCCCGAAGTAAAAGTTTATGTTTTCAACAAAAAATCCGACTCGCTAATTTTATGTTTTCCCGATGTTTCAAGCATTTCTGAATCGAATGAGACCAAATTTGGGAAAAGTATGTGTGCGTGTGTGTGTGTGTGAACAGATTTTTTGCCGTAAATCGACGTTTTCTTCCAAACGGCTGGACCGATTTCAAAAATTTAAAAGTCATTCGATGCATCTTGATGAGGACTAGCGTTTCCGAGTGCGACGATCGGCCGAGCCGTTTCTTTGTAAATCGCAGAGAAGTGAAAAATTTTTCGTCTACGTTTTAGCCTGCAATTCTGAATCGATTTAGAAAATTCAAAAAACCGTTCAAAATATATTGGTTGGGAATCGTGCTGATTAGTTTTTGGTAAAGATCGGCCGGGCCGTTTTCTTGTAATAAATTAAAAAAAAAAAATCGACGATTTTTATGATTTTTTTTGACGGTAGATACCATAGTCTAGTAGATCATACTAAAATATTACGGCCCTACGACAAGTCGTTTAATTTTAAGAATTCTTCAAAGTTTGCAACATTGGGTATTGTTTTTTGGCATTTGTCAAAATTAGACCTTTGATCGACGTTTTCTCAGAAACGGCTGAACCGATTTCAGAAATTCAAAAGCCATTTGGTGAATCTCAATAAGAATTATCGTTTGTCTGTTTTGTGAGACGATCTACCGAGCCGTTTCTTTGTAATTTGAAAAAAAGTGTTAAACTTTGCGTCCACATTTAAGCTCATACTGCTGAATCGATTTTAAAAAATCAAAAACTGATTGAAAGATATTAGTAGGGAATGATACTGATTAGTTTTAGATGAAAATCTACCAAGCCGTTTTTTTTTGTAATTAACTGTTGAAAAAAAAATTTAAGCCGATTTTAATGGAACTTTTTTTGGTGATATATAGGGGAAAGTTCCCTAGTGGTGGACACCTAAGGTTATTTGTAAATAAATCAAAAAATATTTTACGAAATGTTTATTAAATTATGATTTATGTTAGATAAAGTTAGAAATCAAACTAAATTAACAAAACCGCAATCTTTGCTAAAAAATAATGATTACTATTAATCAAACTTTGGTATCAAGAAATATGATTTTAAACAGTTGCACCTAGTACCGGACATTTCAAAATAACATGCATTGATCACATATGTAGCCATCTACACACTTTGGAATGTTTGCACATGTGTCTTTGGCGAATATTCTTAGATATTGCAAAAAAATCATTATCTATACACCCTTTTGGCTGGGCCACACCGATGCTCTCAGCTGGAGCATTCATCATAAGATTTTCATTTTTTGACTAGGAAATACGAAGAATGGGGCTATGCAGTGACCGTTAGCACTCACACATAACAAAATTTAATAATTGGAACAAATTACTTGAATTCTCACAAGAAACATCAATATGTTTACTGTCCGGTACTGAGGGACGACTTAGTGTCCGGTGCTAAGGAACGGACATTTTCGTTCATTTGGTGGCACCTACCAAAATTGGTTGGTTTAAATTGGTTAAAAGATCTAATAATATTCTAATATCATTTTACGGATAATAATCAAGTACAAACTTTTATCTTTGCATACCACTCAAATGTAAATGCATAATATGCTAGAATTACTTCCATTGATATTTAGGTGACGCCGTGATTTTGCGCCTAAAACAGGAAAGTGTTGCTCTCGCCGTGGCCGTGTGCGTCACAGGCGAGACTTGGCGCGCGATCCTGTGCTTGTACTTGTACTAATCACTTGTATTTTGAAATTAAAAGATGCATACTCGCTTAATTAATACGTGTTAAATAGAGTATCCGGTGCTTGGTGCCGTCCGGCGTTACGGGACTTCCCCTATTATGGTCTTATAGAACTTACTAAATATTACGGCCTTACGACAAGTCGTTTAATTTTAAAATTCATCTAAGTTTGAGAAAACGTGTTTGTTCGTTTTCAATTATGTGTAATAAATCCACTAGGGATACTTTAATTACTCATAAATTAATTTATATTTTATTGATTAAGTCGATTATTTACATATATCGGAAAGTTCATAGAACTTGCCCCAAGGCAAAATACCAATACCAACTAGTTTTTTATTTATATTAGAGAAATTTCAAAATCGATAAAGGTGATTTGCGAATTCTGGGATATATGTTTAAACTTATTATAGTAGATGATTCCTCAAATTAACGACTACAAAACTCAAAACTCATTTGCATTGATCCACAATCTCGTTCTTTAATTTATTCTTTAAGAGAGAATTTGATTCTCTGCAATACAGTTTCAGTTCCCTTTCTTTTCCAAAGCAGAACTTACTATATTCGCACTAAAACAAGTGTGAACGACGTGTAGGCGAATGTAAAATTGCTTTTTTTTATGTAATGAATATCGATAATTGCTACATAATTAACAAAGTAAACTGTTGGGGGGTGGGTGGCATCGTGCCTTAAGGAGTTTGCTGGAACTCTCCCCCGTACCGTAACGAAATGTTCGAGGAATACTGAATGTTTTCAAATAGATTATTATAAATATTGTAACATTGACTAATATTTTATAAGAATATATAAACTGAATTGCAAGTTGAAATTATTTGTTTAAATTATATTAGAACTATAGTCAGAATAAAAATAAAATCTGAATTATTTTAGATATACAAAAAAACTAAAAAAAAAAAAAATCCAAAAATAATTATTTTGTTAAGACAGCAGAAAGTTCTTTGAATCATTTAAATCGGACGCTTAGTTCTCTCAAAACTTTTTTAGATCATTCAAATCGGATACTCCGTTCTCTCAAGAAGTCGATTTCTATTTTCTGCACTCTTTTCTCCGTATCTCCTAAACGACTGGACCTGCCTTCGCCAAAAACTAATCAGCTCTTTTCCCTATCAATAAAAATCGAATGTTTTTTGAACCATTCAAATCGGTTGATCCGTGCGCCCGAAAACGTGACTGGAAATTTGTATCCATACATACATACACACACACACACACGCGCACACATATACACACATCCATTTTTTCTGAGGTATGCCAAAACGTTCAGAAACCTTCAAAACGTCGAGAAATGTAAAAATTTTCAATTTCGATTTTCGACCCATTACAATAACTTACCCTACGGGAAGTTAATACTTATCATCTGTTTGAAAAGTAATAAATAATGTCAATGTTAGTATTCGTAAAGATTTTATAGATTTATATGATTAAAGAATAGGTATTGTTACATGATTTTCATAAAAAGCCTTTTTAATATCGTTTATCAATGAGTACGGTTATCATTTATATTTTTATCTAATACATAGTTAATTACATTTATCTACTACTTAATTTCAATGAATCCGATGAAAAGTATTATTTTGCCTTCTTTATATTATGCGTAGAGTATAGCGGGACTTAAATGTCCGCGGGTAAAAAGTTTTAAGTTTTTCAAAAACAAATAAAGTTAAGAATTTTAACATAACATTTGAAAGTAGAGGAAAAAAGATGTATAACCAGCTATCACTTCGAATATTATAATACTATCTCTCTGTTGGTAAATAAACAGCAATGTTTGAAAATCTAAACCAAAAGCACCAACTTTAACTTAACTTTCGTTTTCAGTTTGTTTGCTTGTTAACAAGTTTTTTAGTTTACGAGATCTTAATATATTTTGAAGTATATGTTAGTTATTTGTTATTTAAAGATGTATTATTAATTTTAAGATAATTTCAACAGTTTTTTATATAAGCTTATAAAACTTTTCATATGTGGGTGTAAAGGTAAATTAAAAATTAAATGAAAATAAAAAAAAACATTTTACAACTGATAATGTAGCTGTTATTATCCTAATCCTTTGAAATTAAAAAAAATAGAAACATTTTTTTTTCAAAACAATTATTTTGTTGAAACTAGCAGAATGTTCTTTGAATCATTCAAATCGGACGCTCAGTTCTCTCAAAAACTGCCATTTTTTGCACATTTAGCTCTGTATCCCGAAATCGCTGGTCCTGCCTTTACCACCACTTCTCCCCGTCATTACGAATTAAATGTTTTTTGGATCATTCAATCGGATGCTCCAATCTCTCAAAAACTCGGTTTCTATTTATGCTCTCTTTGCTCCGTTTCTTCCAAAACGGGTGGACCTGCTTTGGCCAAAACTAATCAGCACATCTCCCTA